GTCCACACCAGCACACCACATGCTCTCTCCACTCCAGCGAAGCCGCTGCCATTCGTACCAGACTCAGAACCACCTCAGGACTTTGGAGCTGGCTGTTCCCACTACCTCCATCTCCCTTCCTTGTAGGTCCCTGCTCCATGCCACTCAGCGCTCCGAGCCACCTCCTTAGGAAAGTCCTACCTGTTGCATTTTCTATCAATTCTCTCTTCCATAACTCTTCTTTATCACCGTCTGGGACTCAGCAGAAGAGCTCACCCTCAACACCACGTCCACAGCAGCCACTCCCTCTCCAGAGTCTTAACTGTATTTTTTTTCCTCTCAGCACTAACCTTAGCCCTATTTATCTTATCTGCTTGTTTGCTTTTTTCATACTGTTTCCCACAGGAGCCTTGCGTGATGGTTGAGGGCAGGGAAGGTGTCTGTCTTGGTCAGGGCTTTACAGTGGAACTCAATAATGGATGATACCCAGTATTTAAAACAGTGCCCTAGCACGATGGGCCTCCACTACTCTTTGAACAAATGCACCCTCCTCCCTGGCCTGAGACCAGGCCTGGAGGGCTGGGCTCCTGGGATGGGGTGCTTGTCCTCCATTCTACATTCAGCCCTGTGTTGGCGGAGGTGGCGCTGGCAGACATTACCTGCGCCTCACCGGCTTCATGCAGCTCTTCAGCTGCCTGGCCTCAGCCTCCACAGGACCCTGGCACTCAGGCTGTGGCTGCAGCTGCTGCAGCTGCTGCTGCTGGATCAGCCCTTCAGCATCAGTGGGTGTGGGAGCGGGTGCGATCCGCAGCAGGACAGTGTAGTTGCGGCCATGGTTGTTGGCCCAGAAAGTGCCCTCGGGGGTCTCATAGCGCACCACGAAGTCGAGGCGCGCCCCATCACCCGCGCCCTCAGCAAAGGGCAGCTGGAAGGCAAAACGGTCAGTGCGGCCACCGTCGTCGGGCGAGGAGGCAGACATCTGGCCAGGGCCCAGACCTAGACCCGGATCCAGGAGGGGATCTCCTGCTCCTGTTCCTCCCACTCCTGCCCCAGGCGGGCTGCGTGGGACATAGCGCGCTGGGTGGTCGCAGAAGGAAGCCCAGCCGTCGTGTGAGGCCCGCACGTGCACCGCCTTCTCGAAGGAGCGGTTCAGCACGCGCACCAACCCGCGCACCACCGGCGGGCGCCCCCCAGGCACCCACACCCCGGAAGCCCCGGGGACCGCTCCAGGAGGCGGCAGTAGCGCCTCCAGCTCCACCATCACGCGCCCCAACCGCTCCAGACGGCCCAGCGCGGGCGGCAACGAAAATGTGGGCACCAAGTAAAACCCCCCGCCAGCGGGAACGGGGCACAGCGGCGAGGGATCAGGGAAAGCCTCCTCTTCCTCCTCCCCTTCATCCCCCTCCTCGCCATCATCGTCCTCATCAGCCCCGCCGCCACCGCCATCTTGCCCGGTCGCCGCCGCCATCTTGCCCGCCCCGGGCCCGCCCCACGGCCGGTAGCGGCGTAGCTGCGCCAGAGGCAGCCCCAGGGCCTCGTCAGCGAACAGCACCCTCCGCGGGGCCACCGCCGCCTCAACCGAGGCGCGGGGCTCTCCCGCAGCCGGCGATGGGGGTGCGGGGTGCCGCAGCGGTGGCTCCACAGGGGCCGTGCGCGCCATATCGGCGGCGGCGGCGGCGGCACCGACGGCACCGGCGGTGGGACCGGCGGGGGCAGGGCCTGAAAAGGCGGGCAGCCAATGGGAAGGCCAGAGCGGGGGGGTGGGGCTCCAGTGGAGCGTAGGCGGCGAGATGAAGACAGGTACAGCCAACAGCCAATGGACGGCCACGCGGGGGTGACGTAGGTAGTGACTGACGAGCAGGAGAAGCTAGCGGCCAATGAGGACGCCCGAGCGTGGGCGGGGTGGGAGGCGGGATGATCACCGAATCAATGGAAAGGCCGGAGTGGGGTTAATGCGGGAGCGAAGATGTAGCTAGCAGAAGTATGGCAGTTAGTGAGAAAGTCTAAGCGCGAGCGGCATGGTGGGCGGCGGAAAGATGAAATGGCTATGGGCGAAGGGGGAAGCGGGGAGCGAACCCAGAGGTCCAAAAAGTGGGAGATCCGCAGGTTGCGTAGGCGGTGAGACGTAAGAAAGATAAAAAGAACAGCCAATGGAGAACTGCTCGCGAATGATGTAGAGGCAGAATGACGATAATGGTTGCAACGAGCCAATGGGGAGCCTTGTAAGAGGGCACTATGGCTTCAAGGGGGCGGTAACAGGGTGGATCTAGCCAATACAGAGACTGTTGGGAGGCTGGAAGACATTGTGTGAGCATATACGGAGGCGGGACTGTAAGGGGGAAGAGCCCTTGGGCATATGAGGAGTGAAGGTGGGGGCGAGAAAGAGATGGGGAGCCAGAGTGAGATCTCAAAGGGCAGTGCCAGTATGGGATTAACCGATGCCTAAACTGGAGAATGTAGCTGACGGAGACTTTAGAGGCAAGATAGGAAAGCAGAGCCAATATAGTGGTGTAGGTGATGTGAAGGAAAGCCCAAGGTAGCCAATAAGTGGGTTAGAGTGGACGGGGGTGCATAGACTGAGCCTGAACTATTGACTGGTTGAACACAGAATCGGAATTCAGGCAGCCAATAAAAAGATTAGGCCTCTGGGAAATGGATTTACCTTCTCCCTAACCTTCCATGACCCCATGAATTTCCAGAGCCCCTAAAAGCCTAGACCAAAGCAAAACACCTCTGCCATCAGTTACTGCGTGTGTCCTGCTCCCCTACACACACACACCTCACAGCCTTTTTGTGAATAATGAAACTAGCCAAGTACACCCTTGATTGTCCCTTAAAATTCCCAATTGGGTATCAGTGTTCTTAGGGACTTGGCACCATTGGAAAAATCAATCACAAAATAGGAAATTGAAATTTTTAAAGGATTAGTTTTTTTTCTAACTTGCACTCAGTACACATTTGACCACGACAGTGTGCAACCAGTTGATTGAGCATGTTGACAGACTGTCTAGTCCTACCCTTCTTGCTAGTTTTGACACTTTGCACCCCACAGTGGCTTCCTCTCCCCGCTTTCTTTCCTCATCTCTGTTGAGACCATCTCCCTTCCCAGAGTGCTGCCCCATCCGTTCCTTTCATCTCGAGAATTCCTTTCATTCTCCCTTTGAGCCCTCACCTCCTATGCGAATGGAATAGAGTCTACCAGCATGTTCATTCACACATCTGCCATATGCCAGGTTCAGGGGATGCTTTTTATCTAGCCCTCACAATACCTCTAACAGGAAGGCCATCCTTGGCCCCTACAGTCTCTCTTCTCCTCCAGTCTGTGTCCAGGATCATGAAAGGAATATGTTCATCTACAAGTAGCAGAATAATAATGAAATGATGCAGGTTTAAACAAGGTAGAACTTTTCTCTCTTTTTTTTCTCATCTGAAAGTTCAAGGTGGTAAGTAATCTCAGGACTCCATCCTATCTGGCCATTTTAGGTATCTACTGTGCCCTGATCTTGCTTTGGAGTCTCGTTCTTTAGCAAATCCTGTAGGTTATCTATCTAAAGCATTTCCCAAGCAGGATATGGTGATGCACACCTGTAATTCCAGCACTCAGGAGGCTGAGGCAAGAGGATAAGTGAATTCAAGACCAGCCTAGGCTACAAGTGTGGCCCTTGTCTTTAAAAGAATGGCTGGGTGTTTTGCGGCTCAATGGTAAATCACTTCCTAGCAAGGGCATGGACCCCATCTCTAGCACCATTTTTTTAAATCCCAAATCCATCTTTTCACTACCACTCTACCAACAGGACCAGCACAAGTGCCAGTCACCTGGGCTACTGTGGTAGATTCCTCCTGCTTGGCCCCTGTCCTATGTCCCAGCACCCCATTTCACATTCAACAATCTAAGGGATCCTCGTAAGTCCTGACAGCGATGAACCTCCTTTGCTCCCCCATGTCTTCTTCCCCACTTAGAGGAAAAGCCAAACCTTCACCGTGTTGTAAAAGGCATCACATAACTAGTTCTCTCTGCCCTTACCTCCTGTTCCTCTTGCTCTCGCTCACCTCACTCCAACCACACCAGACTCCTTGTTGACGCTGTCCAAATCCAGTACACTCACCTCAGGGCATTCTCACTGGCCCTTCCCTCCAGTTTTGCAGATCTCTCCACGGCTCTCTTCCTCACCTACGCCAGGTCTTTGTCAAAGATCCCTTTCCCCGGGGACTTTCCCTGACCTATTAAATTCTACTTAAACCCCCATTCATCTTCAAGCCCCAGCCCTTCAGATTCTCTGCCCCAGAATCCTCCATGAGCAGATAGAGTTAAGGTGGAGACGATATGCTGCCCCTGCCAGCCTGACCTCCAGCCCATATTCTGCAAAGACCCTGGCTTTCAGCCCTCCCACACCCAAGGCACCACTCAAGTGGCCTCCTGGGAATCTTTGTGTCACTAACCCTCATTCACTTTTCATGCCACCTCTCTGGCCAGTCTTTTTCACAGAGTGGCAGCAATGGGGAGATGGTCACAGGGATTTAAAGGAGGAAGCAGGTCATGCCATGGACTCTGAGAAAACCAGCACCTATTCCAGAAAGAGACAGAAACAGGTGCTGGGGCAGGAAACTAGAACTGTCTGAGTCACATAGAAGATACAGGGACTTTTTGGGAGCAGGGATCATTAACTTTGAGGCATACCTACAGTCAGCTGCCCAGGACTCCCTGGTAGGTATATTCCTCACCCCTCCCCCGCCCCCTCCCCCACACAGGCACATCTGTTAAGCTCCTAGGATCCCTGCAGACCTCCAAAGAAAGAGGGTCTCATCCCTCCTCTGTACCTCCCTCTCACCTCGGTACCTCCCTCGGCTTCCAGCCACCACACACTCGGGCCATGTTTGGTCTTAGATATGTCCCACCAACTTAGACGCCCCAACCAGTGAAAGTTTTGCTTTGAGCTAATGGTAGGGAGGGTTGAGGGTTTTTTTTTTATTGTTGTTGTTGGCTGGTATTTTTAGGTCTTTTTTTTTTTTTTTTTGTATTCACTTGTTTTCCCCTCTTGTCTTTACAAAGCCAGGCCATCAGTTCCACTCTTGTCTTTTCTAGAAAGGTGAGTTAAGTTGAGGAAAGTCTCTCTCTTTTTGTTTGTGTGTTGGGGGGATTAGAAAACAGGGGAGAAAGAAAAGGGGGCAAAGGAGGGAAATCGTAAAGGGTGAGTATTGACCAATAGATTAGCATCATGTGAATAAATGTATTTCTAACTTTCTCTTCCTCAGGACTGAAGCCAGTCTTGCAAAGAGGTTTCGGCGGGCATGCATTTGGATACCTGGAACTCTAAGCTCTTCAGGGTGCCAGAGCACCAAATGCTGGAAGCCTTGACCATGCTTTATGAGGAGAGATCTATCGAGGCTGGTCTATGTGAAGCAGTGGTTGGAGGGAGCAGGTCTGTGCCAACAAGGAAATGCAGCTGCCAAATCTTTTATAAAAACCTTAAAAGCTCACAAGCATCAAGCTCCAGAAAAGTCTCCAAATCCCAGAACTTCCTTCCCTGTCATCGAATCCTAGAAATTCAAACCTGACACTGTTGGCTTCAGGAAAACTGGGCACTTGAGAAGTCAGTGCTACGGACACCTATTTTTCATCTGTGTGATCTTCGGCAAGTTGCACCTCTATTTTCCCCATCGGTATAATAGCAATACAGTAATGATGAACTGGACCTCAGAGGGTGAGGGTTGAACACAATTGTTTGAGAGAAATGTTCAGTTCTGTGGCTGCAATGTGGAAAATTCTAGATAAATGCTGCTACTAAGATTATGGCAGTTACTTAGAAACCTAAACCTTTGCAAACTGTGTCTTTTCTTTCCTTTTGTTGTTTAGGCTTTTGAGACAGAATCTGGCTATACAGCCTCAGGCAACCTTAGACTCTTTTTTTTTTTTCTTTTTGGTTTTTCGAGGCAGGGTTTCTCTATTGTTTTGGAAGCTGTCCTGGAACTCGCTCTGTAGACTAGGCTGGCCTCGAACTCACAGAGATCCACCTGCCTCTGCCTCCCAAGTGCTGGGATTAAAGGTGTGCGCCACCAACGCCCGGCTTGCCTTAAACTCTTGATCCTTCTGCCTCAGCCTCCTGGGTGCTGGGATTACTGGTGTGTGCTACAATGCTGGGTGAAACTGGGGTTTTTCAAAATAGAATGTCACAAAGACTGAGGCAGGAGTCCAGAATCATCAGGCTATGGTTATATTGTTCCTGATAGGATGGGAATCCTGGGCTGCCTTGTATATGGCTGAGTTTTTTTCTTAATCTTGTTTTGGTGGTGCTGAGGATGGAACCAGGAGCCTTGTGCATGGTAAGCAAGCCCTCTGCCACTGAGCAGCATGCCGAGCCCTCCTTCCCCTAGCCCTTCCTTGTGCCGTTGGATGCACTACTATGGGACTGTTGGGGCTATCTGCAGGTGCGTGGCTGCTGGGTCACAGCACTCAAGCATAAGCATCATGTGGAGACCCTTCCCTCCTCACACAGAGACTCTCAGCAGATTCTAGGAGCCAGTGATTCTGAGACTCGTTGATTCTGTGAATTTGTGGTAGGAGTACACCCCACCTTCTTTCTCCATGAACTGCATTACATGCCTCTTGCCTTCTATGGGAAGAAAGGCTACAGAGGTGTCCAGATCTCCCAACCCTTGGCAATATGAATGAGGGTGATCATATTCATTCTACCTAAGGAGAAACCGAGGCCTGAAACAGGACAAGGCCTGTGGAAACACGCGCTATTCCATTGCTTCCTTTGGTGTTCTCTATCCAAATGTTGGGCTTCAGATCCCTTCTTCTATTCAACGCAGTGACCCTCATACATCCTCCCAGGCACAGAATGGTGTCTCTACCTACCTCGGGATGCCTTTGTGATTTGAGTGATTTTCCCTTTTTTTTCTGACTCTACACACTTTTGTTTAAGAAATTGTGGTTTCTCATGAGCCCTGTTATCTCATTGATACCTTTTACCTCTGTGGTGAGGGGAAGAAATCATATTTTCAGATGACTTGTAAAGGGCAAAGAAAAAACCCAAAATTTCAAAATTTCCGTTTAAGTCTCATAAGAAAAGAATAAACAAAGCGAGAGAGAGAGAGAGAGAGAGAGAGAGAGAGAGAGAGAGAGAGAGAGAGAGAGAGAGAGAGAGAGAAACTATGAGAACCCCCACCATGTGATTATCAGCACACACACTCATCAAAAAAAAACTGGATTATTAGAAGAGAGAGGTCTGCGGCTTCCACACCGTGGTTTTCTTCTCGGTATAAAAGCAAAGTTGTTTTTGATAATGTGGCAGTTTCCCACAAGCCAAGCTGATCCTTCTCTGTCAGTCCACTTCACCAAGGTGAGTGTCCCTGCTCTCCCCCGCCAGACACAGCTCTGCTGGAGAAAGTGGCAGGGAGATAGCAGTGGGGGGTCAGGAGCCCTCTGGTCCAGCTGGAAACACCTAGCCACTGTGAACTCCAGGTAAGGACTTTTGAAACTAATACTACTTATCCTAAATGCCAGATAGGTGGGGCAGTCATTCCTCAAACAGGGGCAAAAAGAAGAAAGCTGATTGATGCACAGATGGACAGGATTTTTAAAACATGTCCATCAACTGCTGATTTCTATGAATGCCGGAGCGTTGGGCAACTCAACATGTTGTCCAGCTGGAACTGGAAAGTTGAACTGCATCTCTTGTTTCTTTCCTGGTGATGTTCCCCACTTCTTTTCCTGTCTCATTCTGTTTCTTTGTCGGTCTCTGTCTTTCTCCCTTGAATGCCCACTCTCTGCCCACGTCTTTCCAAGGCGCTGACTATATTCCTCTTTGTCTCTTCCATCCTGACCACCAGTGTTCCGTTTCTTTCTCCCACTTCTCTGACTCTCTTGGCTCAACTTCCTTCCCCTGCTTTTCCACCCAGTATCCAGCACAAAGATTTGTACACCACTGGCACTTACTAGTAATGGCTTGAGAGCTCTGTTTTCCAAAATGGGCATCAGTTCTGTTTGTCCTAGGAGGAGGAGGATTGTGAGCAGGCAGCCCGTCTTAGCATTTCATTGACCTTTTGCTTGTGTCACATAAGAGGACACCCTCTGGAAAGGCACTTCCCAGCATGGTCAAGCATGGTTTAGCAAAGGACTGTGTGACTGTAACCAGAATCCATGTCCATGGAGAACAGGCAGTTCAGGACTAGGGTGAGCTAGTCACTGCAGGCTTAGTCCTATGGCACTGCGCCTGGTGTACGGTAAGTTCTCACTGTTAGGTAGTATTTTTTAAACAAATTAGAATCATGCTGTATTTTGGGTTTGTTCCTGCTTTATTCAATCAATACCATTTTTGTAGCATACCAAAAAAATGAACACGTGATCTTTTATGTCCGCACACTCTGAATTGCCTGAATTAAGTACTGATAGTTGGATATTCAGGTTTCTTCAAATCACAACTGACTCCTTGAATCCTGGAGAAGAAGGGGTGTGCATTTTTAAGGGGTTTTTGTTGTCCTTGTTATTCTCTCTGCAAATTGCTTTTCCAAATATTGTCTTGTTTTATGTTGTTTTTATTCAAGCCAGTCTTAGGTGGCTGTTACCATTTTTAATAATCATTTCCCATCATAAGAGAAAATTATAACATTGTTAGATTTTGCATTCTTCGGTGGCTTTTAATGACTCTTGACCTCTTGTGCTTTGCAAAAAGAATTGGGTGATCATGTTCTTACTCCTAATAGAGTGCTCAAGATTTTTTTCTACAGATCTTAATTTGGAAAGGATAACTTTCTATTGCCTATATGTATATAGAAAACATTTTTTCCAAATTCATCATTTGTAGATATGTGTATTTAATCTTATTTATTTACTTATTTTATGGGTATGCATGTTTTGCCTGCATGTGCACCGTATATGTGTGTGATGCCCATAGAGGCCATAAGAGGGTGTGGGATCCCATGGGATTCCAGTTACACATGGTTGTGAGTTGCTACATGAATGCTGGGAGTTGAAGGAACCTCCTTTGGAAGACCAACTAGTGCTCTTAACCACTGAACCACCTCTCCAGCTCCCTTTGTGTGCATTTTGTTATTTTTATTTTGAGACAGGGTCTCACTGTATAGCCCTGGCTGGCCTAGAACTGACTATGTAGACTAGGCTGACCTCACACTCACAGAAACCCACCCATCTGCCTCTGCCTCACGAGTACTGGGATTAAAGGCACACGTCACCATATCTGACTATCATTTGCTTTTTTTCTATTTATTGTGCTTTGTAATTCACGTGTGTTTTATGTATTCAGATTACTCTTTTCTCATGTGGCTTCTGTCTATGGTTTTGTGCTTCAAAAGTATTTTGTCACTTGAAAATGAGATAACAGTTCAGCCCATATTGCCTTCCAGTCTCCTTTATGGCTTCATTTTTTCCACTTACTAGAGGTCAAAAGTGTGGGTACTGGAGCCAGACTGTCTGGAACAACCTACCCTCACCTCAAGTCATCTGTGGGAATTTTAACCAGCACGTCACCTCTCTGTTCCTCCGTTTCCTAGTATGTTCTGTGATGATTATAATAGTACCTACCTCAGAGACTCTTTCTGATGATTGGTGCTTAGCACAGGGCTAAACACACAATGATAGATAGTAAAATTTATGTCTTCACTGGGTCTGGAAATTATTCCACAGCACATGATGATAGTGACATTTCAAGTGGGCAGAGAGGTACTGGTGGGAAAGTGGACTGATCGTTGTACCCAGTCACTTGATTTTCTCATAATTGTCTCAGGAGCATTTGTTAATCTAGCTTGCACTATTCCTCATGTTGAAATGCTGCATCCATCACAAATCCCATTCTCTCTGTGCATAAGTCTATGCCAAAGCTTTCTATTCTGCTTTGGTCCTTAGAATCTGTTCTTGTACAAGGCAAATACTATTTTTCTGATGTTGCTTTGTTAAACAATTCAATACCAGCCATGGATGTCTCTAGTACTTAGCGGCATTAGTCCTCCAGCCAGATGCCAGTGATTATTTGGGTCAATCCTCTCTCTATCTCTCTGTCTCTGTCTCTTTCACTCTTGTTCTCCTTTCTCTGTCACCATTTCCCTAAAAAGCTCTCATTGTCTCTCTCTGTGATCTATTTCTGTTCCGTCTCATGTCTCTCACTCTATATCTCTGTCTTCACCTCTCTTCCACGTGTCTTTATACACACACACACACACACACACACACACGCACACACACACACACACACACACACACACACACACACACACGGATGGATGACTTACCCTCAACACAGGACAGAAAGACCCTGGCCTTTGTATGATTTACCTCAAACACAGGACAGAAAGACGCTAGCCTTTCTCCACCCCATACTCTTAGCAGGCCTCACACATATGTTGTGTCAGTTAAACTCAAGATCAGATCTCAACTTCTCAGTGAGACCTTGACTCTGACCATCCCCCATGGTGACCTCAGCTTGTCCCTTGGTACCTAGGAGGCAGCCATCAGACCTGAGGTGTCAGTCCCTCTTCTGCCTTGTCACAAGTTGGATCCAGATTTGAGCAGGATGGCCAATAATCATGGCATGGGGTCAAACCTCACAAATTCTGGCCTGTGTGAGGCCCTGAGTCTCATGAGTTGGAAGCCCTAGCTGACCAGAGAATAGTAACAATGGAGGCATCTAAGTAAGAATGTGTCCTCAGAGTTGGTGCTGGGTTCCCAGGGACTACTATTCTGAGGTCTTTCCAAAGAGCCTAGTAGTGTACTCTTTCCATGAGTCCCATCTCTGGCAGAATGTTATGATCCGGGGAATGATAGGGGGGCTGACGCCATATTGTAGGTGTCTATCAGTCAGACATTTTACTCAGCATTTTATATGTACTAACTTTGGGAGATGGTTCCTGTTACTGTCTCAAGTTAGAAAGGAGGGCAAAGCCTGGCCTGCAGAGCAGGGCAGAAGGGGGTCCTTCCAATCCTCTGCCTTTACAGAGATGGGGGGAAGCTGAGGAGAACTTGCTGACATTCCAGGCCCAGAAAGAGGCCTTAGAGTGTTTTAGGCTTCCTGGCCTTTAGGTGGATCCACACAGTGAGAAGGTGAATCCATGCACCCCTACAAAGTCTGTGTTCTTGAGATCCTGAAATCCATTGGCTGTAAGAAATGAGATCCTATGGTTCTAGGTTTTGGTAACTACACAATTTGTAGACCCAATGGGTCTCAATATCCATGAGGCCTGCCTAACACTGACCAAACATCCAACCTTGGACCCCTCTGACGCCCAAGAAAGACAGGATCTACAGAACTTGGGGTTTACATGGTGGCCAGATGGACGTCACCTACCACATCCGCTAGCACCTACATCACGCTACCTGGGCCTATCCGGCTACAGGATGGACCAGCCAGTTCTCGGAACGAAACCTGTGGGGTGGGTTGTCTGCCCCCTTCTCTTCCTCTTTGTTGCCGATGAAGCCCAGTGCATCCGGCCGCCATGACGTCAATGGCAGAAAAATCTGGCCAAGTTGGGGTTGTGACAACAGGGCCCAGATGTAGACCCCGATAGGAAAACATGTTCTATGTCCCAGAAACAACCTCCATACAGCTTCTGAGAAACAGTCAAAAAGGGACGCCCCAACAGACAGTGCAGGAAGCTGGCTGGCCAGCCCAGCTCTCTAGGTCCCTACTACCACTAGACAGACCATATCCAATTTAGGTCCCCTTTCTGAGAAGGTACTGAAGATTCCAGGTGTCATACCAGTTCCAGACATATTTAGGAAGGAGAGTTCTTCTAAATTCTGGCCAAACATCTAGCCTGCTTTAAAAGTGACCATGGTCCACCCATGAGGGCTAACCCACTATGGTGGAAAATTCTGCTCACCAAAGAATACACATTTACTGGGACTGCTGTAATGAAGTGTCACAAACTGGGTGAATTTCACAGCACAGTTTATTGTGTCACAGTACTGGAGACTAGAAGACCAAGATCAAGATGTCAACAGGGTTGGCTCCTTCTGTAATCTACTGCTGGCCTTCTAGTCTCTGACTGTTTTCTTTGCTCTCGTGGCTGCCTGTCTTCATTCAGTCTTTCGCCTCCTCATCTCATCGCTGTTCGATGAAGCCCATGTTCTCAGCCTCCACAGACCCAGACTCCTGATTCTCATGCTAATGTTTTAACCCACGAGACACTGTAGTTTTAAACTCCTACCAGTCAGTTCTGACGATCCCCATGACGTGACACCAATGAAGCAGTTGGCTTCCAGAACACTTTTGTGCTCCCCTGGCTGTTTTTTGCCCAACACATGTAGTATAGTAGACTAGATAATGGCATATACACATGCACATATATACAAAGCAGGGAGTTATGAACTATAGACATGGATACATACTTCCTAGAGAAAGATATGGAGACATCAGCCTGGAATGGTGACTTCCAGCACTTAGAAAGCAAACAGTTCAAGGACCACCTGGCTATATAGTGAGTTCCAGGCTAGCCCACGCTACATGAGATCCTATCTAAAAAGAAAAGGAAGTTCCAGGTTATGAAAAGACTGTAGAATTATGAACCTGGGGTATCCTTTAACTAAAAATCCCTTCATTAGACCCCTTTAATTAAGTCACTTCAAGATCTGGTGGCCTCTCTGACTAGAACTATAAGACCCTAAAAACCAAAAGCCATGCTCCTCAGGAGCTGTAAGGTACTGGGGCTCTGCAGAGGGGCTTGGGTCACCATGCAGGACTTTGAGGAGGAACACAGAAGACAGGTGTGGCTAGGGAAAAACAAGAGGCTGCAGGAATTCCAAGCTGGAGGGGCAGAGATTGGGACAAGTAGGGATGAGGCTAATTTGGGGAGCCCCCAAGGTCCCTGGATCAAGAAATCCTATCCCTCCTTTTTCTGGCACCTGCCATGTTAACTCCATGCAGGACAAAAGCCCTGAGCTGTGGCCCTGAGCTCTGCTGTCCTGAATTCCATTACCTACCTACATATCTGTCCTCGCATCTAATGCTTACCTTTGCATATCGCCACATCTGACTACCATCAGTGCAAAGTCTGCTCTTTCATCCTCCATCTCTGGTAACACCTGCTTTGTCATAGCTGCTTATGCCAAACCCCAGAAGTCATCTTGACCCTTTCTCCCATCTCGTACATCTAAGCTTCCAGCAACTTTTCCTGACTCTGTCTTCAAAGGATACCTGATATCTAGCCATTCCTTACCAGCTCCTCTGCCATTATCCAGGTTGGTAGCAGCAGCATTGCTTGCCTAAACTATTGCAGTAGACTTCTCACTAGTACTAAGTTCCCTGGAACCTTCCCTCTCATGGCATCCAGCTGAATCTTTTGAGCTCATGCCCAAGTCACTGGAATAAAATAATGAGAGTCCACGATAAGTCTCAGCAGAATCAGCAAAGACTGTGGCCCGTGAAGAATGCACGGGGTACCAGAAGGCTGAGGCCCCACAAACCAACTCCCCATTGTCCCACAATCACAACAGGACTGTGTGGCATATGCAGGCAAGTCAGGTGCTAGACATGTACATGTGGAAGATAAACATGTATCTGTGTTATATACATACATACATACGTACACACACACACACACACATCAGTGTATGTGTGTAAGAGATGAGGGCTTGGGTATGTTTGTGGGGCCCTTTGGGATATGCCCTAGCCAATACCTGCTCTGACGAGAGGCTATCTGTATGATTCAAATGGATGAATGTCTTACACCACTCCTGGAATGCATATGACTCCATTCCACTGTTGTTCCTGCAGCCTGCCTCTGACAAGAACCCAATGCCCAACCCCAGGCCAGCCAAGCCTGTGGCCTCTTCATTGGCCCTTGGTACATCCCCAGGAGTCTTACCAAGCTGGAAGACTACACCCAAGGGCTCAGAACTCCTAGGGATCAGGGGTCCTGGGGGAACCTTCCAAGGCCGGGACCTGCGAGGTGGGGCCCACACTTCTTCCTTGAACCCCCTGCCACCATCACAGCTGCAGGTGAGGCCCGGGGCCCAGAATGGGGCAAGCAGGGTGGGGTACCTGGGCCTATAAGTGCCGACCTTTACTGTGGCATGTAGCAGGAGGGGGGCTGGCTGGGGCACAGGAAGTGGTTTATGGGTCCCAGGCAAGTCTATGACTTATGCAGATGTTGCAGGGCCAAGAAAATCCCCGCTCTCCAGGCTTCAGAGATTCGAGGCTTCCCCCACCCTCCCAATCCTTGTCCCAAAAGGAGATCTTATTATGATCCCATGGGCATAGCCATGTGTCCTCATCTCACTGTGTCAAGAGGAGATGGCTGGAGCCCAGGAAGGTAAGGTGACAGCGTTGGGGCCAGCTCTACCGCTTTTAACTGTTTGATATTGGTGAATCATGTCTCTACGAGCCTCGGATTCCAGTGTGTGAACTGGATGCATTACCGGTCCCTACCATGTGGAGCTTTAGTGGAAAGCTGGGGAACGAGACACAGGACTGTGAAGCTGAGGCTGGCATCTCATGGCATCTCTCTTCTCCTTCCAGCTGCCTACAGTACCCCTAGTCATGGTAGCACCCTCCGGGGCCCGACTAGGCCCCTCGCCCCACTTGCAGGCACTTCTCCAGGACAGACCACACTTCATGCATCAGGTATGGAATCGAAACAGGCTGGGAAGAGGGAACAAACAGGAGAACTGTGAGGCAGAGCCCGAACCAGCCTGAGCCATGGTCCATATATGTTCCTCAGCTCTCCACTGTGGATGCCCATGCCCAGACCCCTGTGCTACAAGTGCGCCCACTGGACAACCCAGCTATGATCAGCCTCCCACCACCTTCTGCTGCCACTGGGGTCTTCTCCCTCAAGGCCCGGCCTGGCCTGCCACCTGGTAAACACTTCAGCTTTCTGCCCATGGCTTCACAGAACCGCCAAGTCCTCAGATTTTTGAATATACACAACGCAAACTTTTCTGAGGCCTGGAGGGGTCTTAAGAGTCATGAAAACTCCAACCTCCAAAAACTGTCAAGCTTAGAACCTTGAAGACATAGAATGTCAAAAATCACAAATCGCTGCCATTACTCAAAATGTCATTACTTACCAATGGCTGTCTTTAGGCTGCTCTGTCAGAAGCCCTGCTCTGTAGGAACAGCAGAGTCCTATGAGTCAGAGTCTTCAAGGTTCAGGGAAGGTACAGGCCTTCTGGGACAAGCTGCAGAGCCTAGCCTGCAGCCCCAGAAGTACCCTGACTCTACTCACAGGGATCAATGTAGCCAGTCTGGAGTGGGTGTCCAGGGAGCCGGCTCTACTCTGCACCTTCCCACGCTCGGGTACACCCAGGAAAGAAAAGTAAGTCGGCAGTGTTGGGCAGAGCCCCTTCTCTCCGCCCATCCCTCAGCTGACACCCTGGATTCTCCCACCCCCAGCAACCTTTTGGCTGCACCGCAAGGATCCTACCCACTGCTGGCCAACGGAGTCTGCAAGTGGCCTGGTTGTGAGAAGGTCTTCGAGGAGCCAGAAGAGTTTCTCAAGTGAGTAGCCTGACCCTACTCATGGGGTTCTGGTGTCTGAACAGAGATCGGGACTGCATATCTCAACTCAGAATCTACTGATGATAAGAAAGTAGTAAAGGTTGACACTTCATCCCTCCCTGGTTCTGTGATCTTGGGCAAGTTCCTGGATTCTCTAGGCCCAGATTGTCTCATTGGTATGATGAGACATAATAATAAAAGTATATGCTGATAGTTATCTCCGTGTGATGCACAAAGGAACGAAGGCCTAACAGAATTAGGTGTCAATCGAGCTCACACAGGTCCTGTGTGACGGATGTTGCATATGAACTCAGGCAGCCAGGCTCCAGAAGCCACACTCCTAACTGCTTTGTCCTTCTTCCCATCATGCAATGTACATTATTGAGCCTTGAATTTCCGCCCCTCTGGATGACTTAGCTGTTTCCCCTTGGCTTTATATCTGCCCCCTCCCTTTCTGTATTTTGCTAATCATACCTAACTCTTGGCAATGACGTATGACCTGCATAGCCAGGCCTTTGCATAGGCTGAACCCACCATCTCCCTCTTACCACCTCCCTAATAGCCCAGGCCTGGAAGCCAGCAGTTGCTGAAGAGTGTGTTTAAGGCAGTGCAGGTGAGAGAGAGAGACAGGGGTGTTGTTGAGTGAGGGAAACTGAGACTCTGAGAAGAAATCTCCCAAAGGGTCTAGGCTGTCCCTAGTGGTACACCAAGCCGAGAGGCCTGACACACCATGGTCAGCTATATGGAATCTTCTCCTTGCTCAGGCACTGCCAAGCAGATCACCTCCTGGATGAGAAGGGCAAGGCGCAGTGCCTCCTCCAGAGAGAAGTGGTGCAGTCTCTGGAGCAGCAGGTGATGCCTGCAGGGCGTGGCTGAGGGGAAAGAAGGATGTGAGGGAGGGCCCTCCAAGGGAAGGCCTTTGCGCAGTCACAGTTGTGGCTGAAGACCAAGTGGAGGCCTCACTCTGATGTGTATCCTCACAGCTGGAGCTGGAAAAGGAGAAGCTGGGTGCTATGCAAGCCCACCTGGCCGGGAAGATGGCACTGTCAAAGGCTCCAGCTATGGTGAGTACCCCAAGTCCCGAAGCAGAAGACTTCAACTGCTGGGGACAAGAGAGACACCCTTAAGGTTGGTCCTTCTCACATGCAGGTCCTGGCCACTCCCACCTCCTTAATATGCTTACAACCCTCTGACCTTGTGACCCCAAAACACCCAGTCCCCAGGTACTTTGCTGATGTGAACTTACTCAAGTCTCCTACTACAACAGTGGTAGCCACCGCTGTCATCCTAATGAACAAATGAAGAGCACTGAGGTCAGGAAGACCTAGTTGACTCTCCCAAATTCACAGTTGGATGCTAGGGGATCCCATTCAGGCCCTGCTCACCCCCAGCCCCAGCATCTATGGCTTCCTAGCATGCTCACTCCTGCATTGTAATCAAGATGCCCCAATGCTGCTTACAGCACCCCAACAGAGCCTGCAACTGACAAGGGGGTGGTGCCCTCAAAAGCACTGACCTCACTGGACACGTGGTGTACACCTGTAATCCTAGCTACTTGAAGGAGGATCACTTGAATCCTTGAGTTCAAAACCAGCCTGACCAACACAGAGACCTTGTCTAAAAAAAATACTGGGTTACTACATCTAGCCATGATATGAGGGTTTGTGCCCAGTCTTATTGTATCAGAAACAGAGGAAGAGTTGATCTGGGGGAGAGGGGATGTGGAGGGAGGGACTGGGAGGAGTGGAGGAAGGGAAACCTGTGGTTGGGATGTAATGTATGAGAAAAGAATAAAAGTTTAAAAATTAAAGATGCCAGGCGGTGGTGGCGCACGCCTTTAATCCCAGCACTCGGGAGGCAGAGGCAGGCGGGTCTCTGTGAGTTCGAGGTCAGCCTGGACACAGAGCAAGTCCCAGGACAGCCTCCAAAACAATACAGAGAAACCCTGTCTCAAAAAACCAAAAAAAAGTTTAAAAAATACAAAGAACCAGGTGGCAGTGGTGCACACCTTTAATCCCAGCACTCAAGAGGCAGAGGCAGGTGGATCTCTCAGTTCAAGGCCAGAACTTGAACTCAGAGTGTACAGAGTGAGTTCCAGGGCAGCCAGGCAGGGCTATACAAAGAAACCTTGTCTTGAAAAACAAAAACAAAAAACCAGAGGTGGGGTTGTGTTCAAAGGGAAAGTGTTTGCCATACAAGTAAAAGGTTCTGAGTTTGGATCCCAACACCCACACCAGATGCAGAATAGTACAAGTCTGGAATCCCAGTGCACTTAGGTAGAGACACAATCACTCAAAATGCTGTACATGGTAGCACAGGCCTTTAATCCCAGTACCCAGCACCTAGGAGATAGAGGTGGTCAGATCTCTATAAATTCAGGCCAGAGTGGTCTTCGTAGTGACACCTGCCTAAAAAAACAGAATCATCCCAAACTCAAGGCTCACAGGCCAGGTAACCTAGCATAAGCAGAGGCATACAACAAGAGATCCTGTCTCAAACAAGGTGAAAGGTCAGGACTATTACCCAAGATTCTTCTCTGATCTCTACACATGCATCAGCACTTATACACATGCAAACATGTATGTGTATACACATCATACATACATACAGGTGACATATAAATATAACCAAATATGTAGATGCAAATTTTAAAATAAACTGAGGTTGGGGAACTGGAAAGATGGATCAGGGATTAAGAGAACTTGCTGCTCTTCCAAGGGACCAGAGTTTGATTCCCAGTATCCACATGGCAGTTCACAACTGTCTCTAATCCCAGTTCTAGTGGATCTGATGCAATTTTCAGACCTTCACAAGCACCAGGCACGCACATGGTGCACAGACATGCATGCAGGCAAAATGCCCCCACACATAAAATATTCTTGTTCATCTAAAATAGAAATGGAATGGAAGGTGGGTATAACTCATACCTACAATCCAAGCACTCCAGAGGTAGAAGCAAGAGGATCAGGAGTTCACTGTCTTCTTATGACACATAATAAGTCAGAGGTCAGCATGGGCTACATGAGACCCTGCCTCAGAAAAACAATTTTTTAAAATAAAAATAAAATGGGAACTGAGTGGTGGCTTAGGCAGTAATCTCAGCACTTGGGAAGTTGATAAAGCAAGCGTGCTCCAAGTCTGAAGCCATCCTGTGCTACATAGTAAATTGCAGATTAGCCTGTACTACAAAGTGAGACCCTACATAGATAGATAGACAGACAGACAGACAGATAGATAAAAGTAAAGTGGAAAGTGGCTGTGGTGGCGCACAACTTTAATCCCAGCACACGGGAGGCAGAGGCAGGAGATCTCTGTGAGTTCGAGGCCAGCCTGGTCTGCATAGTGGTCTACACAGATAGATCCTGCCTCAAAAAAGCCAAACTATAAAATAAAAATAGAAGCCACATGTGTGGCACACACTCATAATCCAAGAACTCCAGAGTAGAGTTCTGAGGATGGAAGGTACAAGCCCAGCCAGAAATATATAGTGAGCCTGTCTCAGAAAAAAAGTTAAATAAGACAAAACTAAAATGAATAGACAAAGCATGGTGATACATTCATGAGGGAGAGACAGGTAAGCTTCTGGAAGCTCCAGGCCAGCCAGGACTACATAGTAAGACCCCCGTTTCTTAATAATAAATTTTAAAACAAAATAGACATAAATATGAGAGTGATTTTTGGGAAGGAAGCAGGTAAGCAGTAGGGGAAGGAAGCGGGGTTAAAATGGTCTGTATGTATTGCATACATGTGCAAAATTGTACAAAACCACTTTTAATTAATAATAAAAATACAAAAGTTTTAGACAGGATGTAGTAAAATGAAAAGCTTAAGGCTCTCAATCACCACTCTCTCCCAAATCCTCCCAGGCCTCCGTGGACAAGAGTTCTTGCTGCATTGTAACTAGCAGCACCCAGGGCAGCGTTCTCCCAGCCTGGTCCAGTCCCCGGGAGGCTTCGGACAGCCTGTTTGCCGTGCGGAGGCACCTCTGGGGAAGCCATGGAAACAGCACCTTTCCAGGTCAGTGTAGTCTGCACCCCATCTGACGACCACAAGCTCCTAATACCGACTGGTGCCAGGGGGCACAAAGGAGCTCCCTTTCCCCTCACATGCCCACTGAAAGCTGGGAGGAAAATGCACCTGAGTTTATTAGGCCTAGAAGCTCCAGTCCCGTGTATTTTGGGGACTGGAGCCATGTCTCACCCACTTGGTATCTGCTACTTCACTTGGTCACCATGACGGAGGGACCTTGCTAAATAACTCCAAAGAACCTCCCTTCTTCCCCTCCTCAAGGGGAATCAGGTGGAGTCATCCAAGCTCACCCAGCCACTCCCACCCGCCAGGCCTGGGTTGTGGATGCACCAGGAACCACAACTCTGCTATCATACTGGCTGCGCCCCCTTGAACTGCTTACATGCCTTTGATGTGCAAGTTACCTGTCTGCAATTTGGGGAGAGCTATTTTGGCAAGAGCCGTGCAAGAAGAGTCAGCTTATGGCCAGTACTCCATAAACAGTACCTCTGTGCGATCATAGGACGCCCCCCCCCACCCTTGGTGCTAACAGTAGGATTTCAAGCCTTGGACTCACGGTGGAGACAAAGGCAGGACAGAGTGAGAGGAGGCCATAGGGCCTGATCTATCCCAACCCTCTGCAGAATTCTTCCACAACATGGACTACTTCAAGTTCCATAACATGAGGCCCCCTTTCACCTATGCCACCCTCATCCGATGGGTAAGCATGGCAGCCTAGGCCTGGCAGCTGGGGGTGGGGGTGCTTGCCTCCTACACCGCTACACCCCTCTGCACCAAGAGTGGAACCCTGCATTAGCAAACCTCAGCCCCCGAGGAGCCCAGAGATGTGATCCTTCTTGATAGCTTCACCCCAGATCTCTCCCTGAACCTAAACTACTACCACAGGCAAGTACAAGCCAAACTGTGACACTAAAAACCACCCTTTCCATTGTCCACCCCACTACTAACTTCATCCTTGCCTCCCAGGCCTCACTCCAGTGTCTCTCCTTCCCCTCCCTTGACCCACACAACTACACACCTATCCCAGGCAGAGAGCTTAAAGTAGACTCCCCCCTCGGGCACAGTTCTGAGGAAACATGCTCACTCCATCTGACTCCAACTTCCAGGCCATCCTGGAAGCTCCAGAGAAGCAGAGGACACTCAATGAAATCTACCATTGGTTCACACGCATGTTCGCCTACTTCAGAAACCACCCGGCCACCTGGAAGGTAAAGTGCCTCTGTGGGGGCTGGGATGGCTCCAAGGGTGGTTAAGCCTGGGCTGGACACGTGGGAGAGGGGCAGGTCAGTGCTGAGGCCCGCTGAACTCACTGGATGACTGTCCACCCCATCTCTGCCTGGGGTCCTGGTCCTCCTTCCACAGAATGCCATCCGCCACAACCTGAGTTTGCACAAGTGCTTTGTGCGGGTGGAGAGTGAGAAGGGAGCGGTGTGGACCGTAGATGAGTTTGAGTTTCGCAAGAAGAGGAGCCAACGCCCCAGCAAGTGCTCCAACCCTTGCCCTTGACCGCAGAACCAAGAAAAACAAAAGATGGACAGGGGCCAAAATATGAAACAGAGGCAAGGAGGCAAGTCCTGGCCACATCTACGGAGCCCAGGCAATGATGTTTCCACTGTCTTGCCTATAGGGCCTCTGCTCCCTAACTAGCTGCCCTCCTGGATCATAACTTCTGACTTGAAGCCGAGGGACACCAATCCCAGCCCAGCCCCTATCCCCAACCTATCCCCAAGATGGGCTTTCCAGCCAAACAGCCCTCACACCCAGCTATACATACAGCCTGCCTTGGCCACCCTCAAGTGGGAAAATGGCACAGACACACAGTCATAAGCCTGTCCCCTGGACTCCACCCAAACCCTGCAACACAAAGAGCCTGCCTTGGTACATTCATCTGCCCCCAAAGTGCATCGCCCTGCAGTCTCACATGACTGCAATCCTACTGACTCATACCAAAGCACTCACCACAACATCTGGAACCATGGGCACCATCACACATATGTATACGTACAGATCCTTGCATAACAGCAGCCCTGGAACCTTCAAGATTGCATCCCAGAAAAGCATATGGGCATAACTGATCATACAGTCTCGTGCCATGCCCCAAAATAGCAAGTCAGACACAGCTTGTCGGAACTCACACACACACACACACACACACACACACACACACACACACACACACACAGCTCCCTCCCCTGTTATCTCCTGAGTTCTATGAATACACACTGACTCACCAAAATTTAGCCCATGTCTCATTTGCCACTGACCCCGGTCCCCTACCCCAAGCCCCAATCCATGCCTCAGCGTGGACCATAGAAGAGCTTCTCTTTTATTTGGGATCCAAGACCCCTTGGTCCCCAGTACCCATCCAATAAACTGTGGTCAAGCTAGATAACCCCGGATCAAAGATGGGACCAGATAAGCAGGCATCTGGGGTTCAAATCCCAGCAGGAGAAAGCAGGGGCCAAAACACAGGAAGTGCTAGAAGAACTACTTTGGCATTGTCTCCAGCACCCCCAAATCCTGCCTGTGGCTAGGACACTTCCATTAGGGCTCTAGGCCTCCCGGACCCGGCTCAAGAGGCTAGCATTCTCCTGGCGAAGGGCTCGGTAATCCTCACAGATCTTCTCCAAGTTGCTCAGAGTCTTCTTGCCCATCTCTGTCTCGATCTAAGACAACATGATACACACATCTTCAGCATGCATGGCTAATTTTCCAGCCCCTGCTCACCGCCCCTCTACTGTGCTAGTCTCTACTCCTCCCATCCCTGTAACAGTGGCCTGCCCCTTCCCACCACCAGGTCTCTGTGTATGTCCTTCCCTCCACCTAAAGCCATAGCTTTCGCCATGGGCTCTGGGAGGCAGGCGTGAGAAACCTCAAGCTAGAAGCCAGGGCTCAGAGTAGACTAGTTCCAGGTCCCGGGCACAGCCTCTAGCTGGAAGATGTCTGGTTTCACAGACTCTCAATGTAAAACAAGGAGCTATCCCCTGGCCTGCCTCCATTCCCTTTCCTATTCCCAGATCTCACCTGCTCCTCCAGGTCTCGAATTTCCCTCATGATGGTGCCTGTGTCCTCAATGGTCTGGATGAGCTGGCTGCAATTCTGGAAACGACAAGAATTTAAGGCTTGCACCTGTGCTAGCCCTCTACAGCCAGCCCACCAGGCCCATGCTCCCTCACCTCATGCAGGGCAGCTAGATATTTGTAAGCTTTCCGAACAGCATCATCCTTCTTGGCGTCCTGAAAAGACAGAAGGGACCGCAAACCCATCAGCAAGCCATTCCGGCTGTTTCCACTACTCCTTCCCCTACAGAGCCGCCCTACACTACCACCTTCCACAGAACAAAGCTAGACCCAAGCAACAGGCAACAGCCCAGTCCCACCCTCCCCTCCCCAGGCCAGTCTGCTCCATACCTTGAACACCAGTTCGTCAGTCACTGCAAATGTCCGGTCCAGCTTCCCAGAGAGAGAGTTGATTTCCTTTTGAAGTTCCTTTGTGTCCGACAAGATCTGCCAGAAACCAAGGAAGCCATCACGTCTGGGGCATGGTGGCTGGCCAGTGATGGTACTCACGTGCCTGCACTTACATCCAATCAGGGCCTATGTCACTGTGTTGGGGTGGCTGGGGTAGACTGTATGTGTCTATTGTATGTTGGAGTATGCCTAAACAGCTCTATGAGAGACCATAAAGTCCCCGTGTAACTACCCTATGTCTGTCTGCCCATGTGATCCATCCATCAGAGCCACAGTGGCACACCTTAGTGATCTCTTCCTTCTGCTTCCTGATGTTGCCCACAATCTCCAGGATGCGCTGGGTATAGGCCAGCCGGGACACATCTTTTGGCAGAGTCTCCAGCTCTGACACCTAGACAAGAGCATGGCAGGCATGAGAGCCCAAGCCCCACACCCCACCCACCATTACAACCCAGGGTCCTAAAATTGCCCTTACCAGCTGCTTATAGACCTCCTCCTTCCTGCGAGCCTCTTCCGCAGCTGCTCGAACACTCTGGTGCAGCTCCTGGATTTCTGCCAGCCGTCGAGATGATTCCAGCTGCCAGGAAGCCATAGACAGAAGGCAGTGAGCAGAGCTCAGAGACAGTCCCCAGTGGAGGCAGTACACCACTCACAGCCCAGGACGCTGCCACCTACCTCCCTACAGTCCTGGAGTTTTCGGAGGTGGCGGTACTCAGCCAGAAGCGGGACCCGATGTTTCTCCCACTGACTTGCTAGATGAATGACCCGCTGGGCACTACTCTCCACCACAAGCTGGCAGGAGTCAGGGGACTATGTTAAAACAGGCTGGATCCACCCACCCCACCCATCTCAGCCCAACCCTGATCCCAGCCCACCTGCAGCTTGGCGAGGTTAGCAGCCCCATCAGGCAGCAATTCCACCGCCCTGCTCTTCAAGCGTAGGGCCTGCTCCTGCTCAGCCACACTGAGTTCACTCTGTCGACACTCTGTTTCCACCTGGTATACTCACAGCCAAGCTCCCAGTCATATACACGGTATACTCACAGCCAAGCTCCCAGTCATATACACGGCTCACAATCCTAGTGAGCCCATTATGGCCTAGGCCCAGCTCAAGGCCTCCCAGATCACTCCACGGCTTCTAAGACCTTCAGCTCCATACTGACAGCCAAAAGCCCTGAGAAACCCTGCAAGGCCCAGCCCATACAGACCCATCTTGCTCCACTGATGCCCATAGCTGCTGTCCCCCTACAAAGCCTGACTAATGCCCAAATGTGCCTCTAACCCCTATAGGCCCACCAAACCACCAGGCCAACATCTTTCTTTGCCTCACAAGTTCTCCTGAACCTTCAAAATATCAGAGGTCCCTAGCATCCTCCATCAACAAGCCTGGCATCTATAGATCTCTCCGGCTTCTTTCTCAAGGCCCTAGTTTTGACCTGATCCAACCCAAGTCCCTCTCCCAGCCCCTCACCTGCATAAGGTTGATTCCCAGGGTCTTCATGTCAGCTTCAACCTCTTCAATGCTGTGGTTCACACTTGCCAGCTGCTCCCGAAGGGACTCTAACTCCTGCTCTTGAGCTGCCCGTGTGTCCTGGGAAGCACAGGCCAGTCTAGGTGGAGCTACCAAGTCCAGAAGACAGGCAAGAGCCTAGCTGACCTGACTGACTCTCTCTCTCTCTCTCTCTCTCTCTCTCTCTCTCTCTCTCTCTCTCTCTCTCTCTCTCTCTCTCTCTCTCTCCCTCCCTCCCTCCCCTCAGTCTCCTTACCTGTTCAGGCTTCTGGGAGGTGACTGGCACATCTGGTATCTGGGTGACCTGGGCCTGGGGCTCCTATGGGTAGAAGCAGCAACCTGGTTGTCAGTCACACAAGTTCCTTCACAGCCCAGCCTCAAACCCCAAAGCACCCCCAAGCACTGTACCCATGTCCGCTTAACCACTGATAGTTTTCAGACCGTGACTACAGGAGAGTGTGAAGTACCATCTGTAAGTACAGATTAGAGTGGCTGGCCACAAGGGAACCTCCCTGAGGCTAACCCTGACCATCCCAACCCTATAACGACACTGGCCAAAATTCCATGAGAAAGGCAGGAGGTCCTCTGGGTGGGTGTCCAAGGAAAAAAAGATGTTCCCGAAGGAAACATGTTTACCAAAGGAAAGCCCAAGGAAAGATGCAATTTGTGCTGGGAGCACTGCACACCTCCTTACACAAGTCCCACCTATCTGCCCTTTCTCCACTCAAGTCCCAAGAAGCTAGGGGGGCCCTCTGGGCACTCTCTCCCAGTTGGACAGGGCCTACTCAGTGGACACAGGGAACCTGTATGGAATACTGTGGTGTTAATAGCATAGAGCAACCCTCAAGTCAGTGATCAGCACACTCCTTGTTCACACTGGCCTACCCACCAGCTGGAAGGTAAACTTCTCCGAATGGGTGAAGCGGGAGCCTTTGGGGGTGCTAGTCTTCTTCCTAGCACCCCAGGCCTGGAGCATGTCTCCTAGGTCTCGGACTTGCGTCGAGGCTCCAAGTGGGCTCCAGCTTTGACGAAGATGCTCAGCCAGCTGCTTATGCAGTCGCTGCTGTGCAGCCCGGGAATCCTCCTGGGAAGAACACACACGGGAAGAGGAGGGCATAAGGGCCTGAAGGTCCCTAGGACCTTCCCACCCTGCCCCATTGGCCTAGGTGCTCCTCAAGGACAGAGGCCCTTTCTCCACACCTACATTTCTCTCCTCACCCTGCAGAAGAATGGGAGAAGAGAGAAAAGTGAGCCTGAGGCTCAGGAGACAGAAAGGGTGGTGGGCAGCGATGACACAGAACGAAGGGTACCAGGCAAAGGGGTTGAGAGTTCAGGGCACAGGAAGACAATAAGTAAAGGAGAGAACAGAGGCTGATTCAGTGTTGAAGGGTACGAAGAAATCATTCATTTCCTTCAGTATGAAAATGGAACAACGGTTACATAAAAATGTCCCTGTGAGTAATGACACGTCATCTTGACTACTTAAGGTTTGAAAATATGTGACAGTCTGAGTTGGCTAGGATTTGACCCTGAACATGTAACCCAGGGCCTTGTGCATGCTAGACAAGTGTTCTACTGTGGGACTACCTCCCAAACTCTTAGATGTACTCGAAAATACTGGACGGAAAGCTAAAAGTGAATAGAAGAAAGACCAGAAGACAGGAATCATTAGAATAATCTCTCTATATTTGTACTTCAAAATTCCTGTGGCCAATGTAGTGGTGGTGCAGGCCTCTGAACCCAGCACTCAGGAGGCAGAGGCAGGCAGATATCTGTGAGTTCGAGGCCAGCCTGGTCTACAGAGCGAGGTGGAGAACAGCCTCCAAAGCCACAGAGAAACCCTGTCTGTAAAAACAACAGCCAAAACTTCCTGTGAATTTAAAGAAGAGACAGTATCTGGGTGTGGTGGTACATGCTTGTAGTCCCAGCACTTGGGAGGCAGACACAAAGGGATTGTAAATTGTGATGCCAACTTGGGCTATACAGTGAGACTCTGTCTCAAATCGCCCCTAAAAACCAGAGAGGGGGCAGGGAGAGAAAGAACAAGCAAATGACAAGCAGAGATGCAGGGATAGATCGAAAGAGACAAAACCAGAAATGGACAGGGAGAAGATAGGAAGAGGAGACAAGTGGAGAAGCAGATATGGGGGAAGAGAGGACAGACAAAAAAGTGGACAGAGGCGGAGACAGGATGAAGAGGTCGGAGAGGGCAAGAAGGGAAAGGCAAAAGTGGACAGACAGAAAGATGCAGTAAACAAATGGGAGACCTAAAGGTTAAGAAAGAGGGGCAGGAAAACTACAGAACAAGAAAGACAGTAATAGGAGGATACGGTGCAGACACCTAGAGCCAGACAGCAAGAGGATCACTGACAAACGCAGAGACAAAGAGAGGGCTCAGGGACACACCCAGTCCCCCCACACTGTCCCAGGTGAAACCCATGCAGGATCAATACGCCACAATCCCTTTTTCCCAACAGGAAAGCAGGCAAAGGGGAAGGACGTGCTGCAGGTTCCATCCTTCTTATCCATTCTATCAGGCGGGGAACCAGGCAAGTACACACAGAGGAGAGCCAATGAGGAGAAGGACAGAGTGGGGACGATGAGGCGCAGAGGACTCACAGGAGCGAAAGCCTTGGGAGGAGAGCTGAACCCTGGGGGTACCTGGGATGGGACACGGTGTGCCCAGCACACCCGGTCTTCATCTCCCGGGCAATCCCTGCTCACATGCTGGCAGAGCTGGACGGCATGCTGTTCGAGGAGTGAGGCTGCCCTCCGCACAAGCTGGGGCACCTGTGTGGGGGCTGGTAGCAGCAGGGCGCTTGCCTGGAACTCCCGTGGCTCTGAAGGCAGAAACAGTGTCAGTCAGCTGCCCCCATTCAGCCATGCTCACACGTCCTTCCCCCTCCTCACGTAGAGCCACACAACTCCAGCCTCACCTCCTTTGGAACTGAGTTCTGGCAGAACCAACCTGGTGCAGCGGAGTGACTGCTGGAGGGCTGAGCCCTGTGGAGAGAGCAGAGTCAGCCTCCAGAATGAGGCACTAGTGATGGGGGGGGGGAGTCAACAACCTGAGCAAATGGATGAGGACAAAGGCAAGGAGGGGACAAGTCCAGATGGTTAAGAGGTGGGGATCCCACCTGGAGGTGCTGCAGCTTGGGAGTTCGAAGGAGAGGTGGGACCCAGGGCAGGGCCAGCTGCTCCCGGATTTGGCTCCCAATGGCCCGAAGGAAAATAGCCGAGTCACCTACGGGGGTAAGGGGTGGCAGGTAGGGAAGGGGTGACAAGCCACAAATCTGAAAGTCCTGGGAAGCTAGCCATAACACCTGAGCTCTCCCCTCCAGATGTAGATGGATTCAACCAGCATTCTCAATCATTCAACAGCTACTGAGCTTAAGCTAGGTAGGTACCAGTTACCAGGGTTTATAAATATCACTTCAGGGGAAAAAGTGATAAGGTCCCCATCTTCATGGAATCAGCAAGATAACAGAAAAGAAACTTCATGAATAGGACCATTAGGACCATCTATTCTAAGCAGGAGAGAGGATTGCTAAAAGGGGTTGGGATGTTCCAAAGAGCAGCCAGAGAAAGGCCTTGCTGGGGTAACAGAGCAGAAGCCACAGAGAACTGAGGATATATTTAACCTTTTGACACTCTGACATGATGTTATCGCCTTCAAAGTTCATGCTCAAGAACAGCGCAATTGAGTCACACCAAAAAAATCTCCTAACATTTTAAGCAGGTTTATAGTTCTGCGGTGGTCGGTGTTCACAGCCATCCTCTGCTGCATGTGTTAGACTTACCTGGTAGTGAGGTGACTCTGAAGAGATCTGAGGGAAGAATAATCCAGGGACCCAAACACCCTGAGGCTAGCCTGTGCCTGGCACATTTAAGAACACCCATATGATAAGAGTGGAGTGAATGAGGATCAGGGGTACAGGAGGTAAATTGGGGAATCCATTTCCTAGCCTCATGCTACTTGCCTTGTATCCACCCAAGTCTCCCGGAGACACATCCTGCCCCCTACTCTTCCTGCCACCTCTGTCAGCCCTTAACACTAGGAATACAGTCCATTTCCCCAGTCCTGCGGGACCCCCTACCTGCAGGCTGGTCTGCATCCTCAGAGGCATCGGTGGGTAGCCGCTCAGCCAAGAAGAGAAGCAGGTCTCGGAGGTCAGGCTCACTGGGATAGAGGAAGTTCTGATAGCCAAGCTCCAAGGGATAGCCCAGGTCCTGGGGGTTAGCAAGTATAAGCAGATAATGATACTGAGGGTAAGAAGGCAGGTCCCCATTTGCCAAGCAGGGAGGAGCCTCCTGCTCTGGGGGCCCTGGGACTACCATACCTGCTCTGACTCTTTTACCTGCCATCACCCCCTCACTTTCACCCTGCATCGCCAAGCCATCCAGGCCCCAGTGACAGCCACAAAGTCATGATAGTATTACAAGATCAAGAAAAGAGATTAAAGCTTAGCAGGCTTGCTGCCAGTGGTGGCGCACGCCTTTAATCCCAGCACTCAGGAGGTAGAGGCAGGCGGATCTCTTGAGTCTGAGGCCAGCCTGGTCTACAGAGCGAGTTCCAGGACAGCCAAACAATAGCCAGACCCTTTGAGAAGAAAGTCGTGAACCTATCTATCCATTATAAAGGTAGTGCCTAAAAATAAACAGAACTGGGGATGTGGCTCACAGTGCTTGCTTACGTGACCGAGGCCCTGGGTTCCATCCCTAGCACCAACAAAATAATTATCATCATCATCAACAACAACAGGCAAAAAGATCAGCAAACACACAGCTCAGAAAGAAAGGACTCGCTGGGCGGTGGTGGCACACCCCTTTAATCCCAGCACTCGGGAGGCAGAGGCAGGCGGATCTCTTTGAGTTCGAGGCCAGGCTGGACCGATAGCCTCCAAAACAATACAGAGAAACCCTGTCTCGTAAAAACCAAATAAAGAAAGAAAGAAAGAAAGAAAGAAAGAAAGAAAAAAAGAAAGAAAGAAAGAAAGGACTCTCAAGAGTTACAGATAGCTTCAAAGACTACAGACCCTGAAAGCAAACTTCCTGGACTCAAACCCAAGTTCTGCCTCTTACCAGCTGTGTGACCTCAGCCCAGTACTTGTCTGTACTTCACTTTTCTCATGTAAGAAAAAAAATGTACAAGGGCTGGAGAGATGGTTCGGTGGTTAGGAGCAACGGCTGCTCTTCCGAAGGACCTGGGTTCTATTTCCAGCATCCACGTGGTGTTGTCAGCATGTTACCACAGTGCCTAGCACAGAGTATTGACTAAAAGACCACCATTATATGTAATTCATGTACTCTGTCACTACAGAAACTGTATTAGAGGATCAGGATCACACAAGTATAAAAACAACATTCCTTAGAGTTTTGTATCTGACATCTATGATCGAAGAGTTGTGACTGATATGGAAACTCATTCCAGAAGCGGGCTGTTGTGGTAGTTTGAATAAGAATAGCCCCATAGGTTCATAGATTTGAATACTTGGTCTCCAGGGAATGATACCAGTTGAAAGGATCAGCAGGTATGGTCTTGTTAGCAAAAATGTGTCACCGGGGGTGGGCTTTGAGGTTCCAGAAGTTCATGCCAACCAAGGCCAGAGTCCCACCCTTCCTGCTGCCTTAGAATCCATATGTAGAATTCTCAGTTACCACATCTGCCTGTGGGCCACCATGCTCTCTGCCATGACGATAACGGACTAAACCTCTGAAACTGTTAGCGAGACCCAATTCAATGTTTTTCTCCACAACAGTTGCTGTGGTCATGGTGTCTCTTCCCAGCAATAGAACACTGACTGAGCAGCCGTATACAGTGACAGATGCCAAAGCACAGAGGTGGGTTAGGAACAGAAATGGATACCAGAAGCAAGGACATAGAGAGGAAGACACCAGAACACACAATGCTGAATTACAGACCTTTTCTGATCGCTGCTAGCAAACCACGGCTGTTGAGCAGACAATCACATGTACCCCTTGACCAGCGGGTTCTCCGCCCCACACTGAAATCAACATGAGCCACAATATCCATAGGCAGCCAGCGCTGAGAAGGCAACATCAGAGAAAGCCTCATCCCACCACCTGGGTGCTTCCCACTGAGCACACTCCATGCCCAACAGAAGACATAGCTTCTCTCTTAGAAGGCCATCGTCTAGAACATGGCCCCGAACAGGGGCAGACTGATCACTTCATGAGGCCACCAAGAGCCCTAGACAGAAGAATATGAGAACTCCTGACAGCTAGGTGAACTTGAGAGTAATAAGCTAGCTAGGCAGGGCCAACAGGGGTACCGCTCAGACCCAAACTGCATAAGCACTGGTCCAAGGCAAACAGCTGTGATGACCCTGTCCCCTTTGGTCTACAAGGAAGTTTTCAGTGGATATTCTACTGATCTGCCACCATAGACTTAGCAACTTACTGAGTATGCTGGAAGTGTCTACAGTCACTCCATAGCCACAGGCTGCTGGAATGCATGCAGCCAGATTAAGCTATGAGCTGTTCCTATAGTAACTTAGCTTTTGCTTTTTGCATGCTGGAGACCAAATCCAGGACCTCATGCATGTGAAGTACACACTTGAAAACTGAACTACAACCTAACTCAGTTTAGCTTTCACACTCAGTCTGCACAGACAGAAACTGAGGGCCAAACCGGTTAAAAGGCAGGCCCAAAGTCACAAAGACAGTGAGCTACAAGAAAAGGAAGAACTCTTAGGTCTTGATCGCAGCCACTGGACACAGCTCTGAAACAGAGGGGAGGGTGCTTCCTTGAAGAAGCACTTGATTTGACCTAATGGGACCAGCACTTTCGCAACTACGAGAGGCGTAATACAATGTAACAAACAATGTGGAGCAGCACTTTTGCAACTACGAGAGGCGTAATACAATGTAACAAACAATGTTTCCTTAAACAGGACACCTTTCTCTCGGTAACCATCCCTTCCTCAGTTCTATGGAATGAAACAGCAGCTAATCAGTCCTACAGGATGTCCATGTGGTCTGGGCAGGACTAATCAGAACCTTGTTTATTAGCATCTAACTCAACGGAGGTGTTTCTTCAGTACTAATGAGTAGGTAAATGGCTATTATGTGACACTGGGGTGAAATCTTGAAGCCAGGTTTAAAAGATGGGTGCTACAGGTAGTCCAAGTATAAACTGGATCAGCTCATTTACTCCACACAACCTTAGTTTTGTCATCTCCGTTTCACAGATAAGGAAACAGGCATGGAAGGGTTGGGACCGCACAGCGAGTATGAGTACAGCTAGGTAGAGTCAGAACTAGTCATACAGTTTGGCTACAGAGGAAGCAGCTTTAACCATTCATGAATGCTAAGCCACAAAGAGGGACAGAGGGGAAGGCCAAGAGTGTCAAAGAACTTGGTGACTCTGTGAAAAGGGAAGGAAGACTGCACCCTGGGAGGATGGCACTCACCATGCAGGCCTGAGCCAGGCTCATAGCCAGGCGGAACCGAGCAGACATGGCTGGTGGTAGCAAGTGACTGAGGCCAGAGCCCACAGTGGGACTGATCACTCGAAGGCATCGAACCACAGCCTCTACGACCAGCTCAGTGGTGAAAGCTCGCAGAGTCTGCACTTCTGGAGGGACTGCCCTAAAAACGAAAACAGTAGGCCTGAGGAGGAGGAGTTATGGGAAAAATAGCCTTCTAGAGAAGGAAGCACTAGAACCCGGGGTGTGGCGGGGGGAACCCTAGACTTCAACAGACCCTGGGTGTTAGTAACTATGACTTCTACTGGTCCTAAGACCTCAGTGAACACAAATGACCTGAGTTCAAAAATTCCCTGCAATTCTCAAATTCCCCTGCAATTCAACGTTTCAAACCTCTGGGAACTGCAAAGGTGAAATTGCTTCAAGTGGCATAGTCTCCACATTTCTGGGCCCCAAGACACTGTGTTCTTTGCATGGCAAGGCCTCCCAGATCTACTAGGGTTTGAAGAAACTATACAGTAAGAGGTTTAGTTTTCAGAAGTCTCAAATGCCAGGGTCCCTGAATAGAAACAAAACTCAGGCACCCTAAATTTTGGCATCCAGGACTTTTAGGGTCCTCAAATAAATAGAGGAGTCCTTGTGTGTCAATGGTTTTGTTGTTGTTTTGATTTTTCAAGACAGAGTTTCTATGTGTAAAATCCCTGTCTGTCCTGGAACTCACTCTGTAGACCAGGCTGGCCTTGAACTCACAGAGATCAAACTGCCTCTGCCTCCCGAGTGCTGGGATTAAAGGCGTGCGCCACCACCGCCCGGTGTGTGTGTCAGTGTTACCAACTGCTGCTACTGCTAGAATTTGGGGCCCTGGTGTTTTGAAAAGCCCAGAGTGCTTCAAAAGCTAAAGTCTGAAGATCCTCAAGTATCCAGTCTCGGGGATTCTGGAGATTCTGAGTGCTAGTCCTGTGTTGTAAGTTTCTCAGAGTGCAGGTGTCTTAACAGACTCTACATAGCAGGGTCCCAGTATATTAGTGTCCAGACCATACATTTCAGGTCTCAGTTCCTAAGATTCCAGATTTGTAAGGTGTCTGAGTCCTTTGGGTTTACCAAATGTCCAGGTCAAAGGGTTTGGGAGAGCTGTGATGTTAAGATCTAGAGGGGCTTAGGATCCTGTAAGTTGGGGCCCTTGGGTGCCAAGGTCTCGATTTTAAGGTTCTCGGGTAATGGGGGGGTCCTAGGTTTTGGAAAACCGGATGTGAGCAATTGGAGGAGAGTGGGAGCTGCGTACTTACGTGCCCGCCTGCCGCAAGGAATGGATGAGGATTCGATCGGCCTCTTCCATGGTGGAGTCAGTTCTAACTCTGGGGCTGGGTTCAGGATCGGATCAGAGAAAGTGGAGCAACGCTGTAGCAACTGCTCTCCGCGCCCAAGGAGGACAGAGCATCACGTGCCGCGCAAGGAACTTTGGGAAGTGTAGTTCTGAGAGTGAGCGCTGCGCAGGCGGGACTCCTGGAGGTGTGGTGTGTTTTACACACTCAGAACTGAGCACGCAATGGCTGCTGGAAGCTGTAGTTCTTCCACCTGAAGTCCTGTAGACTTGTCCAAGGGAGGAAGGAATTGTGCTAGCATCTGAGGGACAGGACAGAGAAAAGTTTCATTTAAGGACGCTTTCATCTTCCAAGTTATAAAAGCCTACAAGTTTACAAAATGAATATTCCCCTGTGTCTTGCTTTCCTCATCTGTAAAATGAGAAATTTGATAATATCTACGCCCCAGGATTAAGATATAATTACTACTACTGGGGAGGCGGTTCGGGATAAGGGCCCCTGCTACCAAACCTCACAATCTGAATTCTGTCCCCGAGATCCACATGGTAGAAGGCCAGAAATGACTCGATGGAGTCTGAACTCCACATCTGCACTGTGACACATGTATGCCTGCACACACTCACAAACAAACAAATAATAAATGCACCTTAAATAAACAAGCATAAATACTGGGTCAGTAAAATGGTTCATCGCGTAAAGCCTCTTGCTACCAACCCTGACAAACTGAGTTACATCCCTAGGATCTATCTGGAAGATAAACAGAATGAATGGCTACAAATTATCCTCTGACATCCACACATGTGCAGTGGTACCACTGGCAGGCACACACAATAGATGAAAAAAGAAACAGAATTACTAAACCAGATGCACCACTGGCAGGCACACACAATAGATGAAAAAAGAAACAGAATTACTAAACCAGATGCACCACTGGCAGGCACACACAATAGATGAAAAAAGAAACAGAATTACTAAACCAGATGCACTGAAAAACACTTGTAATCCCAGAACCTGGTCGGAGCATAGGCTGGGTTACATAGGGAGCCTACCTCAAAGGAAAGAAAGAGAGTGGGGGAGGGGAGAGCTGACAGTTATACTTACATTCATGCAAGCAATAAATGGGCCATTTTATGTGCTATACATACATGTGCAATCCAAAGAATATTGACACAGGAAATATCTATGTAACCATTACTTATTGAACAGCCTTGTTTTTGTCTCCACCACCCAGTAGTTCTAGCATTTGTCATAAATCACACACATATACACACATCACATGCATGGCTCAGTTTCTGAACTATACTTTTTTTCTTATTCTTTTGCTGTCTTGTCTTGGTTTGGTTTTGAGACAAAAAAAAAAGTCTTGCACTGTAGCCCAGACTGACCTCAAAACTGTAATGGTAATATTCCTTTCTCCCAAGTTCTGGAATTAAGAGCTTGTACCACACCACCCCTGGCTGTATTCTATTTTTAATTACTGTAGATTTATAATGAGCCTTGGTATCAGATATGGCAAGTCCTCCCATCTTGTTCTTTTCCAAAAAGATTTTGACTTTTCTTGGTCCTTTGTATATCAAGGATGCCAATTTCAAAGAAAAATAGGCTGAGATTTTGCTTAGGATAGGCAGTGCAAAATTCCAAACAGATCACTTTGTGAAAAATTTACATCATTACTAAATGTTACATATTTTTCCACTTTACATTCCTTTGATATTTACCATGTGACTCCTTTTCCATAGAGATAAGGCACATGTTAGTTTTGTTCAATGTACTTAGAATTTTGTTATTGGAAAATTACACCATTTTTAAATCTTAGTTTCTGCCTGCTTAGTGCAACTATCTATTTGGTAAACCCTTAACCAGTGCCTTTTCACTTGTCAATCTCTGGCTTATAAACATCCCATTTGCTCCGCTGTTCACCCTCCCAACGGACACTATTATTCCCCGCCCCGTGACCTTAATCTCTCTAAGGCTGGAGGAGAAGAGGGGGAACTGTGCGCAGATGGCCCTTACATCTCCAGAGGAGGATGTCAGAATCTGAAGGCGGGAAAGGTGAGAGCAGCCATCCACCCCTGAAGATCCTTGGAGTCACCCTGGGCTCTGGTCCACCCCTCACCCTCTCACCTACCCACTGGCCACCCGAATCCTGCTCCTGGAGAGCCTCTGGGGGAAATAGAGTATCATCACCCTCTTTCTGTCCTAGGCACCCCTTAATAGAGCCTCTTTGGCGCTTATCTCAGAGACACCACAACCTAGCCCATATGCTATCCCCAATAGTCCCCCAACCTTATTCACAGCCTTAGTTCCCAGATGAAACCCTGACTCAATCCTGACCTTAGCACCCAGTCCACCTCAAACTCCAAATCCAGCCTCACTGTAAACCTTAATCTAAACCTCCTAACCAGAAGACAATCCCCCTCCATCACATGAGACATTAGAATCCAAACCTCACAATGGCTACAGACTTTACCATGAACTTGAAGGTCATCTAATCTCTAGATGCCATTACTGCTACTGGATGATTTTTTCTGGCTGTCCAGAAACAGCACAGACCTCTTTTTCAAATTGCTATTAATTTATTTTTATAAGTATATGCATGTGCCTGAGTTTATGTGTTAGTGTCATGTGTGTGCAATGCCAGCAGAGGTAAGAAAAGGGCATCAGATCCCCCTGGAACTGGAGTTACAGGAAACTAGGAGCTGCCATGTGGGTGCTGGGAACCAAACCCCCATCCTCTGGAAGAGCCGTATGTGCTCTTAACCGTAGAGTCAACTCTCCAGGTTAAACAGTCCCTTTACAAATACAAATGATTACAAAGCAAGAGCATACAGCCAATGCTATTGTAAACTAGGAAGGTTCTGTAATTAAAATGTCTGATTTGGGGAGGAGGGGAGGGAAAGGGAGAGGGACCTGGAACTGACTTGTGAAGCAACCTTGTTTCTTATCTAAATTTAAACTGAAAAATAAATTTTAAAAAATGTAAAAAAACGTCTGATTTGGCCACCAGCAAATTACTAACTCTTTCACTTCAATTTCCTCATTTCAAAACACTAATAATACTACATACTAGGCATTCTTATGAATACTGAGCTCAGTTTACTCCTCATAACACCCTTATAATGCAGGCAACCACTATTATCATCTCCATTTTACAGATAAGAAAATTGAGGCTCATGGGTTATCCCATCATTTACTATAGGCAATACACAACTTCTAAACAGTAGTAAGAATTTGAAACCAGACAGGTTTTTTTCCTTCAAAGATGCAATCTTTTGGAGGCTGTCCTGGAACTAGCTCTTGTAGACAGGGTAGTCTCAAACTCAGAGATCTGCCTGCTTCTACCTCCCAAGTGCTGGGATTAAAGGCGTGTACCACCACCACCTGGCTCAAAGATAGGAATCTTTATATAATTATAATTTTTATATGTATGTATATATACATATATAAATTATAATTATTATTATGTATACTGTGTTCTGCCTCCATGTATCCCTGCAGACCAGAAGGGGGCACCAGATCTCATTACAGATGATTGTGAGCCAACATGTGGTTGCTGGGAATTGAACTCAGAACCTTTGGAAGAGCAACCAGTGCTCTTAACCGCTGAGCCATCTCTCCAGCCTAAGATGGGAATCTTAACCAGGTGAACCTACTACTCTTCTCAGAAGCTGAACCAAACTGTAGACACTTGAAACTGAGCAATGAAACCCCAATGAAAAATGAAAATTCTACTCAAAATTTATCCCTCACTTTGATCCTAATATCAAGCCCAACTCATTCAAATACCCAGCTTCAACCCTAAATAAAATCTCAACCAAACTCCATTCTTGCCTATATCAATTAAGGCTAAGGCCACTCTGACCTAAAATCCACCACTCCAATTTGACCTTAAGTTGAAGTGAACAGCATGGTGATCATCCAGCCGAGTCCTACCTTGCTGGAAAGCACTCTTACCTTCATTCCTCAACAAAACTCACTCTACCCTAAACTTAATTCCAACACTGATTCTTAAACCTCAACCCATAACCCAAGCACCCTCCACTTCTCCCCTTCCTTCAAACAGAGGGACGAGGTTGGACAAGAAAGAAGTCGCTATGGTTGTCTTATGCCATCCCCTCCCTGACTGTTTCTCCGTACAGACACCACTCCTGAGCCCAGTCCAGTCAATGGGACAGGTCCTGGTCCTGAATGGGGCCTGTGTCCTGGACCTCCAGCTGTGGGAGCTGATGATACCAGTGGGGCATCAGGCCTGGGCACCCCAAGACGGAGGACCCAGCACAACAAACACAAGACCGTGGCAGTGGCCAGTGCCCAGCGATCACCTCGAGCACTCTTCTGCCTCACCTTAACCAATCCCCTTCGTCGGTCCTGCATCAGCATTGTGGAGTGGAAGTATCCTGAGAGAATCGGGTATAAGGATCACCAAGGTACGAAGAGTCAAGGATTAGGTCAGGCCTGGCATGAAAGAGGACTGAGATTACCAGGGACCAAGGATCAAATATTAGGGGGAAAAGATTCTTGGAATGGTAGAGCATTTATTTAGTGTATTAGCTGCCCTGAGTTTAAAACAAAGTATTGCAAATGAGAGAGGGGGTGGGTCAAGAACTAGAATAGAAAGGGAGGGTTGACAGTCACCAGGATCAAGAGACAGGCACTAAGCTGGCCATGCTTGCATTATGCCTATAACCCCATAACTCAGGAAACTGAGGCAGGAGAACCAAAAATTCAAAGACAGCCTGGGCTACATAGTATGATCCTGCCTGGAGTCAGCACTGGGTGGAGAGGGCACCCAGGAAATGTAGGGGTTTCAACAATACTCTTCCTGGCTCCTTAACTGTGTTCACCTGAGACCTTTTGATATTCTCATCCTCGTGACCATCTTTGCCAACTGCGTGGCCCTGGGGGTATACATCCCCTTCCCTGAGGACGACTCCAACACTGCTAACCACAACTTGGTGAGGCCTATCCCATGCCCAGGCAGGCTACAGCTTTCCTTAGAGCCACAGCTGAAGCCACCCAGCCAGGCCCCACCTCTCCTGGACCCACCTTATTCCACACTTGGTTCTGGCAAAAGCAACCTTAGCCTGTGCCCACACCCACCGGGTCTGACCCTGCCCCCAGATAAGTACCCGCCTTC